GGAACTTACCATCTTCGGCGAGACTTCTGATGATCTTCGCCATCAAAACAAAGAGCGCACACGGGCGCTATCAGCAACAGCGGCGGCGGCGACGTGACCGTCCTTNATCTTCGGCGAGACTTCTGATGATCTTCGCCATCAAAACAAAGAGCGCACACGGGCGCTATCAGCAACAGCGGCGGCGGCGACGTGACCGTCCTTGTCGGTGTCTGTACGGCAAATGAGGCGACTGTGGCGCCGGCGATAGCGGCGGCCGAGGCAAACAGTCTGCTGACAGCTGTCAGGGGTGCCCGTCGTAGATGCAATGCAAGATACCAAAACGGGAACTTCAAAAGCGGATATCTCGGAAAGTACTCGAGATATCGAAGTTCTGCTTGCGCAGGGACACTCTACTAAGCGTTCTGCGTCGAATGGGACCATAAAACGGGGAGGTCAGATTTTTGGCCAAATCTGTAAGGCTATAGCCTTGCAGATTTTGAAAATCTGGCCAAAAAATTTTTATTGCAGATTCTGACAGAACTTGACGAGAGTACTCCAAATCTGAAAGAATTTTTGCTCCAGGACCACGGGAACATGATCAATTTTAATTTTAAAGTTAATTAAAATTGTTATGTTTATTTTACAGCCGCCAGATGGCGCTATGGGTTCCACAAACTTTATTTTCCTGGTATTCTGAACACGAGAAAAATAAAATTCACGGGCGATTTTTTGACGCCACTTTCAAGATGGCGACGACGGTGGCGTTCCAAGCGGACAACATTGGAAACTACTCAGTTTTTGCGTTAAATTCTGTCAATTTTTCAAACAGGCGTTTTTTGGGTCTGGAATGTTGCAGAGAACTCAAATTTGCTTTAAATAAAAGCTAAAGACTTGACGCACAATCTGTATGTAAAATAAATAGGTGTTGACAAGTTTTGATATTGCAAAAATAGCATTGAAAACTTTAAAGTTAGATTTAAAAACAAAATACTTGTTAAAGCTAATTTATTTTTTGTGTAGATTGTGCGCCAAGTCTTTAGCTTTTATTTAAAGCAAATTTGAACTATCTGCGACGCTCCAAACCTGAGAAACGCTTGTTTGAAAAAATGACAGAATTTATCGCAAAAACTAGGTAGTTTCCGATGTTGGCCGCTAGGAACGCCACCATCGTCGCCATCTTGAAAGTGGCGTCAAAAAATCGCCCGTGAATTTTATTTTTCTCGTGTTCAGAATACCAGGAAAATAAAGTTTGTGGTACCCGTGTCGCCATCTGGTGTCTGTCGGATGAACACGGAAAAGAACTTGACTGACCTGCACCAAAGTAGGGTAAAAATCAAGAGTAACAACAAATAATTTAAACAAAATAAGTTTTTGTAGACGCATTCAGTCATTATTTTTTACAGTGGCTCCATATAAATCTAGAAATAAAAAACCTTTAAAATCAATTAAAAAAACCGACAAACTTGAAGAAACTGCTTTTATTTGATTGAAGGTCCAAACAGTTGTTCAAATCAGTTGTGACAGCACAACTGAAGTGTTTTCAGAATGCTTTAAAGAAATGTTTGTGAGACAAACTGATAGGTATTGATAGAGAAAAAGATATTAAAGAGAAGGAAATATAACGGGAAAGTTAAAAGGTGATAACAGCAAACAGGGATAAAGAGGAGGTAAAGAAGGAGGTGGTGGAGGTGGAGAGGTGTTATGAAAGCAAAGTTCAAAGATAAATGATAATGTGAAAATGGAAAAGATGAGAAGAAAGGGATGTGGACAGTGAACAGATATTCACTGACTACTTTCATTTTTGAAGATGATGATGAAGAAGAAGGGAAAGAAAAAATGGTTCAAACGGAAAGATAGATTCCAGTGAAGTTGATGTAGCGCAAAAGAAGCTTTTAGAGCGAGACAACAAAAATTGAAAGAAACAGAAAAGGTAGGATAAAGATGTATAGAATCAAAAGCACAGGAAACGGAAATGTAATCGAATCGATGTGAAGAGCCAGGTGGTGATGAAAAGGAGATCGTGGTGAAGGAGGAAAAATTGTTGTGGTGGTGATGGTGGTGGTGGTGGTGGTGGTGGTGATAAAGTTTACGATGGATTATAACGTCAGTGTTTGGTAACAAGTTCGTAGAGGGAGTGGATAAACAGAGATATACAGAGAAAGCGAAGAAGAGCAACAAAAGTCAATTCAGTGTGTTGGGAAAAAGGCCAGAAGGACAAATCCGATATCAGAGTGGAGAGGGCGGTGGGAACATTTACAGTCTACTTTTGGGAGTTAGGGTTTGTGGGGAGCGGGTAAGTGGTTCGGTGGAGGCAAGGGAAACAGAGAAAGAGAATGAGAAAGTTAACGAAACAAGATAAAATTGTGTGGGTGAAAGCAAAAAAATAAAGAAGAGATCACAGTCAACTGAAGAAAAGAAGAAGAAAAAATGGTGTGTTGTGTGTGTGGTAGAACTGATCGATGGGAGTTTGTGGTTCAGCGGAGATGATATCAGAAAGGGAAAGGGAACAGCTCGAGGAGTTTAAGGAGTTTTGAAAGAGTAAGTATTCAAGGGATGCTTTTGTGTTGTTGTGGTTCAGAAGACACTACCAAACAAAGAGAATGTAGTGATAGAGATANAGGAGTTTGAGGAGTTTGAGGAAAGAGTAAGTATTCAAGGGATGCTTTTGTGTGGTTGTTGTTCAGAAAACACTACCAAACAAAGAGAATGTAGTGATAGAGATTAAGAGAGAACAAGTGTGTGTTGTAATAAGAAGAAAGTTGTGTACAAGGTATAGCACACGGACAAAGAAGAGAGAAGAAACTTGGTCTTGTACTTCTGCTGCTGCTGCTTCTGCAAAGCTAAAAGGACTAGAAGCAACTTCTAAAAAAGGAATTCCATGTAAATGTGTGACTTTTAAAGCAGTGTGATGGACCAGGATGAATGCATCAAGTGAGGAGGAGGAGGAGGAGGAGGAAGAGGTCAAACACGAAAAGGTTAAAGGTCAAAACGAAACAAAAGTTGGCACGGAATTAGGTAAAAGAAGAAGAAGAAGAAGAAGACGAAGAAGGTAATTAGGAGTAGAAGTACTGCACTGGAGGGTAGAGGACGAAACAGCCACGATAATGATGACAATGAAGATGATGACGATACTGATGACTGATATGATCAGTGAAAGCAAAGATAAAGTGATAAAGAGTAGAGGATAATACGTTTTGAGCCTGTTTGTGTGTCGACGACCTGTGAGGAGTGATGATGGTGATGATGATGATAGAGTGATGATCACCACTATGTCAGCAGCCACTACTGGTGCGACTGCGAGGTGGTGGTCGCCGTGGCGAAGGTGGTGCCCGCCGAGCTGGGCGACGTCGCATTGACCACGGTGGTGGCCCGTGAGCCCAGCCGCGACAGCCGCGGCTCCAGACAGAGGCTCATCTGGTAGAGGACCTCGTCGCCCAGGTGGCGCGACGTGTCCAGCAGGTAGTTGGTCACCCGGGGATTGTGCTCAATCTTGTAGGGCGTCTGCTGGAAGTGGCGAATCTCGCGAATGACGTGCGCAATCTAGTTCGAAATGGGTAAAAAATTATCAATGTCAGAAGAAATATGTGATTCATGTCCCACTTCCCCCCCAGGCACTTACCATTCTCATTTTGGAGAAGTTCAGCAGGCCGTCGTCGGTGAAGTTGGGCGTGCCCTCCTCGATGAAGCTCAGATCGGTGAGGTACATGCCCAGGTAGGGAATGCAGGGCGGGTCGCAGCGGTGCAGCGCCTCGCGCATGTTCCGGAAGCGCCCGTCGGTGCTCACCAGATTCTGCAGCTTGTCGATCGTCTGCTTCGTCTGCTTTGTTTTTTTTACGTAAAGTGGGAAGGGAAAGAAAGGGAAGATAACACATATTAAAGGTTAAAAAAGGTCATCCACGCCATGTTTTGTTATTTTTGTGTCTCATTTCCCAACACCCCCCCCCCTTTTTCATTTGCCGCTGCACACTTACCGTCTTGTTCAGCTTCTCCCAGGTGCGCTTCAGCCGAAAGACGGAGGAGTTGGTGAAGGCGGCGCAGATCTGGAGGACGCCGTTGAAGTTGTGCAGACAGCGGCAGATGTCCGCCACGGCGGCCCACTTCTCAATCACCGAGACGCGCTTGGGAATCTCCGGCAGGCGGAGAATCTCCGAGGCGACCATCCGACTGACGTCGTTGAAGTGCTTCGTCATCAGCAGAATGTGAAAGGCGTTCACCGTCTGGAAAAGGAAAAAGAAAAAAGTTAAATTTATTTTTCTAAAAAGCTTTTCCTCCTCCGAACTTACCTTCTCGTCCTTCATCCACGCCTGGCCGAGAAACTCCTCACTCTGAATGCGCACGAAGATGTTGTGGTCGATGAAGGTCATGCACTCGGCAATCTCCAGCGCCGACAGCGTCTCAATGTTGTCCCGACTGGGGGTGATCGGCGGCGCCAGCAGCACGTCCAGGTCGACCTTCTCCTTCGCATCCAGCGTCTGCTTGGCGATCATCTGCTGCAGCTGCACCGCCGCCTTGTGCTCCGCCGGCAGGAGGTTGGTGTTGTGCACTAGCTCCTCCAGAAAGTCGGTGGTCACCTTCAGCAGCCTCTCGTCGTTTTCAAAGTCCTGGCTGTGCTTGCTCACCCAGTGGCGGAGGACGTTGAGGACGCGCATCGTCGCCGCCGTGCTGATCATCGACTCGCGCTTGCAGCGGGCGGCGTTGGCCGCCACGGCCGCCGCCGCGTTCGCCGCCGCCTGGGCCCCAGAGGGGCCGCTGATGCTGCCGGCGAGGCTGCCACCACCACCTCCTCCACCACCGGCTCCAGGAATCTTCAGATCGGCGCCGGTGGCGGAGCTGAAGCGACTGCTGCCGCGAGAGGCGGCGCCACCACCACCACCACCACCGGCCATGTTCATCATCTGCATGCGCATCAGCGGATCGGTGGGCTCCGGTGGATTGCTCGAAGCGGCGGTCGCCACGGCAAAAGCTGGTGAGAAAGGCGGGAAAAGGTGATTAACAAATTAGCAAATTTGATAAGCAAGTCTTACCAGAAGCGGCCGAAGCAGTGCTGGACCGCCTCGAGGTGGCCCTCGAGCTGGTCACCACCACGCCCGCCTTGCTGGACATCTGCGGCGAGTCCGGGTGCTGGAAGCTGCTTCGCGGCGTGCTGATGCCCGTCGTGTCCGTCTGGAAAGAGGAGCGAGGCGTCACCGAGGTGCTTCCACTGCCGCCTCCGGCTCCGCCCCCAGCAGCAGCACTCTCCGTCTCGCTGCTTCCTGAGCCTCGTTTCGAGCCCGCCCCTCGCACTCGCAGGTAGTTCATCGTCAGCGTCGTGCTGGTGGCAGACAGTCGACCAGAGGGGGCGGTCGGGTGGTGGCCGCCACCGCTCCCGGTGAGACTGCTCGAACGGGCGTCAGCACTGGCGCCGCCACTTTTAACCGCCGGAGCCGAAGGCTGCTGCTGCTGCTGATGCGCCTTGGAGGGCAGCACAAAGCAGGAGCCCACGCTGGAGATGGGCGGCGGCGTCGCCTGCGAAGTGGCTGAATGACCGGTTCCAGTGGAAATAGTCGAATGCTTTCGAGAAGGAGGCGTGCCCGGCAGAGGGGGCGTCGGCGGCGGCGTGCCCTCGCTCAGCTGACTCTGAATAGGCTGCTGCTGCTGCTGTGAAGTGGACTTTCGGCGAATGGGCGTGGCAAAGGGATTGGTGCTCTTGTAGCGGCCCTCCACGTACTCCTCCTCCTCCTCATCTTCCTGCTCCTCTCCTTCCATTCCATCGTCCTCCATATCTGCTTCATCAGCAGCAGCTCTGCTATTACCCATCTGCTGTTGCTGCTGCTGCTGTGCCATTGTCTGTGCAAAAGGAGAGTGACCCCCAGCAGTGGGAAAGTCGCTGCCATTGGGCGGTGACTTGCGCACCGGCGACGGCCGCGGCGAGCCCGACTTTGAGTCGCTGCCGACCAGCGTCGCCGAGCTGGTGGCCGAGCTCAGGCTGGAGCAGCCGTGGCCGTCGGTCAGCGTGTCCATCGACTGCGAGTGGGCGGGCACCTGGAGGGCGGCGGCCGCCGAGGAGACACTGGCCGGAGAGGAGCTTGCCCCGCCCCTGGATCCTACAACTGCAGTTGCATTGGCGGTAGCAGACAGCAGCAGCAGTTCATTGCTCTTCGACTGCTGTTTGCCACCACCACCACCTCCACCTCCTGTCTGTTGGGCATTGCTGTTGCTGGCACCTCGCTGAGGACTGGACGCCTGGATGGCGCCAAACTGCTGCTGCTGCTGCTGTTGCAGCTGCTGGTAGTGCAGCTGCGTAGTCTCCTCCGCCGAGTTGGTGCTGGTGGGCGAGCCGTCGTGGCTGTTGTCGCTGCCGCTGCCGCTGCCGCTGCCACTGCAGGAGTCGTTGCCGATGGCTGCCTGCTGTGTGGTGGTGGTGGTGGTTGAAAGGATAAAGTTAACAGGCTGAAGTTGTAGAGCCTAACAGGTTGAAACTCCTCAATAAAAAAACACTTACAAACTGCTTCTCCTTCTCCCGCTTGGCCATCTCCTTCTGGTAGTAGCCGGGCACCTCGGGGCTGGGCGGCGGCGGCACCGGCACGGCAATCGGGTCGGTGATGGCGGGCGCCAGCATCGGCTCCCCCGCCGGCAGAATGAAGATGTTGCCCTCCTGTTGTTGCTGCTGCTGCTGCTGCTGAGCCTGTGATAGCTGATTCGGTGGACCACCACCACCACCACCACCGACACCTCCAACAACCGAACCTCCTCCTCCCATCACCGAGGAACTCGTCGAGGAGATGCTGCCGTACTGCTGGCGATTGTTCATCCGCTTCAGGTAGCGCTCACGAGCCTGCTCCTCTTCAACTATGCCAGGTTTTGAAAAGAAATAAAAGGTTAACTTTAGAATAAACACACCCACTTCCTCTTGCCTCTCCCCCTCCCCCCCCCCACTTACACTTTCGATAGCTGAGCCGCCAGTGCTGACTGTTGCGAATGAGCGGACTGCTGGCGCTGAAGAGCTGCATCTCCTTCGCCTGCTGCTGCTCTCGGCTGCTCACCTGCTGCACTGTGGTCACCTGGGCGTGCACATTGGTGGTCACCTCGGCGATGAGCGACTCCCGGTGGTGGTGATGGTGACCACCTCTTCCGCCTCCTCCTCCCTCCCCGCCCAGCTCGGCAATGTCCGAGAGGACGGAGCTGGTGGACACCCGCCGACCGTAGTCGTACTCGATTGTCGTGGAGACGAGCTCGTTGGCGGCGGAGACGCCCGCCACCGGCCCGGTGCTCTGCCCGGCCATGTTGATGTTCAGCAGAGTGCCATGATGGTGGTGGTGGTGGTGGTGGGAGTGGCCAGGCGAGGCCGACGGGTGCAGGTGGTGGCCGACTGCACCACCACTACCACTTCCGCCACTTCCGCCTTCTCCGTGATTACCTCCAGCAGCTCCTCCTTGATTCGCCGCCTGACCTTTGGGCAGGCCGGTCTCGCCGTCCAGCGAGCCGGAGCTGTCGTGCAGCGAGCTGCTGCTCATCGCATTCAGCTGCATCTCCGGGTTGTAGTGCACTCGTTTGAGCGCCTCAATCACCGTGATGCTGTCGGTGAAGACGCGGTAGGTGAGGAGGAAGGTGTTGAGGAAGTCGATGCTGAGGAAGCGCAGGTCGGTGAGGCGCTCGAAGAGGCGCTCCGGCGAGGCGTACCGAATCTGCGGCAGCTTGCAGCTGTTCAGCGTCCGCGAGAAGCGAATGTCCACGTCGTCCTTGAAGAGCCGCGGATCGTTTCTGGAACCGAAAAACCTTTTAGAAGGGTCAGGAGTGTCAGATAATAGACAGGTGAGAGAGAGGCTTTTAAGACAGACTGCTGCTGGTGGTATTTGGTTTTGGTAGTAATAGCTGGACGCAGAACAGAGTTCTCAGAGCACGCACGCACGCACGCACCCACCCACCCAAATTGGACTTGACCTGACCAATTTGAGCCTTGTGCCTGGTGCCAAAGAGAAGGATCTAATAGTTGGGATTGTTAAGGACTACTAGGACTACTACTACTACCACTGCTTNGCACCCACCCACCCAAATTGGACTTGACCTGACCAATTTGAGCCTTGTGCCTGGTGCCATAGAGAAGGATCTAATGGTTGGGATTGTTAAGGACTACTAGGACTACTACTACTACTACTACTACCACTGCTCNCACCCAAATTGGACTTGACCTGACCAATTTGAGCCTTGTGCCTGGTGCCAAAGAGAAGGATCTAATAGTTGGGATTGTTAAGGACTACTAGGACTACTACTACTACCACTGCTTGCTGCTACTACTACTACAGCTCCCGTTACCTGATAGAGTGCGGCATGGTGATCGAAGAGGCGTCATTGAGCGTCCCATGAAAGAGATCATTGAAGTGGACGTTGTCGATGCACTGCAGGGAATTGACACAAAAAAGTGTTGTTAGAGCGTGCATTAAAATAATTTTNAAAGAGAAGGATCTAATAGTTGGGATTGTTAAGGACTACTAGGACTACTACTACTACCACTGCTTGCTGCTACTACTACTACAGCTCCCGTTACCTGATAGAGTGCGGCATGGTGATCGAAGAGGCGTCATTGAGCGTCCCATGAAAGAGATCATTGAAGTGGACGTTGTCGATGCACTGCAGGGAATTGACACAAAAAAGTGTTGTTAGAGCGTGCATTAAAATAATTTTAAATTTTAAATTCTGCTAGTTTGGCTGTCAGCTGAAGAAGAAGAAGAAGAAGAAAAAGAACTACTGAACTTCCAAAAGAGGAAGTGTCTCATTGGGCCCATTCAAACAGCAAACAGAGAAGCATTCTCCACAGCATTGTCGGTGTACCTTATTACTCTCCCCCTCCTCGTAGACGATATCACTGGGCTGCTGGTGCTGATAGCCGCCAGAGTTGGTGGTACTGCCCAGAGCGGCCATCTTCCGCAGCTTGCCCACGTTCTTGCTGCCTGAAGAGGAGGAGGAGGAAGAGGAGGCGGAGGCAAAGGTCTTGCCACCCTTGCCAGCCTTCTCCCCTTTGCCACCTTTAGCCACCGATTTCCCACTAGCAGGACCGCCATTTTCCTGCTGGCGGACCTTCTCCTGCAGTGCGTGCTGGTGCTCATCCGACTGCTGGCGAATGAGCATCGGACGACGGCTGCTGCTGTTTGTTGCAGCTGAAGCAGCTGACTTGGCCTTCAAGCTCGCCTTGTTGTTCTTCGAGTTCTCAGCCAGACTCTTCGAGAAGCTGCTGCTGCTGCTGCTGTTGTGAAGGAGATCCAAACTGGTGGACCCAGGTCCGCCGTTATTTTGCTGCTCAACCAGCGGAGCCCCTTCACCTGACTTGGAGCGGCAATTGGCGGTAGCACTGCCGGAGGACTTGCTGCTGCTGCTGCTGCTCTTGTTCTTGCTAAACTTGAACCGCGACGGCAGCTTTGGCGACAGCGGCGACTTGGGCGCCGACGTGGAGGCCGTCGAAGAGGACGTACTCTCCTGGCTGCCCGAGCCATCGGTCACTTTCAGGAGGTGCTGCTGCTGCTGCTGGTGGTGCTCATCATCCTTGTCCTGCCGGTGATCCTTTTCCTCCCCTCCATCACCTCCATCGTGACTGCTGTTGTTGCTGTTGTTGCTGTGACTACCGCCGCCGCTAACGTAGTGCAAACTTCGATTGATGGCTCGGCCGTACCGAAAGAGAACTGTATTGTTTCGAGAGGAGGAGGAGGAGGAGGTCGTGGAGGAGGTCGTGGTGGAGGAGGAGGTGGTGGTGGCCGTAGTTGAAGAAGTGGAGGCGGCGGCGGCAGTGCCATCAATCGAGGTGCTAAAGTTGGTCGGCGGCGTCGGCGACGAGGCCGACTTGAAGAGGCCGCCCATCGACGAGGCGGAGGACTTGCGACTCGAGGAGGCGCTGCTGCTCGCAGAGTTGGTCTTGAAGCGACGCATAATCATCGGCAAGACAATCCCCGGACCGACCGGGGGCTGTGGTGCAGGCAAAGAAGTGCTGAAAAGTGTGTGATCAAAAAGAGTTCACAAAGAGGTGGTAAGCTGAAGTCGTTTGAAGGTCTATTATTGGAGTAGAAGAAGAAGAAGAAGTAGAAGAAGAAATAGTTGAGTTGAAAAAGGAAGAAGTTCAACTGAAACTGAAAACTGGCGCGGCTTTGTCTGAATGAAATCGCTTCTAGAAGTGCGCAGCGCAAAAAGAAAAGGCTGAAAGCAAAGCGTAAGAGCGTGGAGGCTCTTGTTCTCTAGTAATCGAAACAATTGGCTAATCGCTTAGTTTCAGAAGAAAAGAGGAGGAAGAAGAAGAAGAAGCTGTTAAGCTCGCGTGACGGAGTGCTTTTCAGAGTTGTGTGTTCAGAGTTGAGGGAGACAGGTCCAAAAAAACAAGGAAAGGTGCGACGTCAAGATGACCCACTTTTCTCTGTGGTCCAGTGGTGGTGATAATCAGCAGCAGCAGTTGCTGAAACCCTGACAAAAACAACTGCCTTTTCTACTGATGAACCAAGATAAAAATTCTGTGGGCGGTAATGGCGAAGAGAAGGAGGAAAAGAGGAGAAGGAGGAGGAGGAGGTAGGATAAGATGAAGGAGAAGAAATGTCAATGCTGAGGAGGAGGAGGAGGAAGAGATCGCCGTAGAACATTTTCATTTGTCGCTGTTGTTTTGGCAAAACAAGAGAGCTCGCTGATACTTTTTGAAAAACTTATGTTTTTGTGGACAGTGGGATCCTCACTGCGTCAATAAAACAGCCGCAACTTCAAAAGCTGAAAAACCGAGTGAATGAAAGTGGTGAAATGCAGTGCAGGAAAGCCGCCACCGTTGCTGCCGTGGTCAGCAGCAGCAATAACAGTGTCGGTGGTGGCGGTGGTGGCAGATCGCTATGCAAACAACACTGTCAATGCCGGTGAAGAAGAACATTTCCTTTCACAGGAAGTTGTTGGGACGCGACAAGAGTTGTACAAGAGGTGGTGGTGGTGGTGGACGTTGCTCAGTGGTGTTGCTCAATGATGTGTGTGTGTGTGCTCTGGCTATGAAAAGTAACACACACACACTTCGCAGCAGAAAAGCTCTCTGGGCGAAAAAGCTGCCTCAAAAGAAGAAGTCAACGGCGACGGTGATGCTGTTTGGAGTGCTGTTCAGTACTGCACTGTGACCATCACCATCACCAGTAGCAATCACAGAGCCAGCACACTACGGCCAAAGAGGACCGGGCAGGCAGGCGGGCGGGCAGGCGGGCAGGCCCGATCAGCAAGCGAGGCAAAAAAAGGTACCGTAAGCAAACAACAACAAAAAATCGAAGCAGAGGAATCGAGGAAGCTGCTGCTGCTGCTGCTGCTGCATCGGCGAGCAGGAGTGAGTGAGTGAGAGATGAAGAGAGTTTGAGGAAAAAATAGCAGAGAGAGAGAGTGGTTGGTGGCCAGCAACAGAGCCATCCAGCCAGCCAGCAGGAGCAACCCGAAACCGAAAACCGAGTGGCGTCGGCGGCGATTGCCGCGACCAGAACCACACCAGCGAAGAGAAGAGAAGAATGGCGCTGGCAGCTGCGGCCTGCACACACACACACACACACACACACTGTGCTGTACACTGTGCCCACTTATACACTGGGCCTCTCTTCGGCTGCCGTACCGTATGTGGCTGTGGCTGTGTGTGTGTGAGTGAGTTGAACCCACGCAGAAAAGTGTTGATGCCGCCAGAGTTGGTTCTCTGATGGTGGTGGTCGCTGTCGCTGTTGTCGTCGACGTCGTTTTCGACTCACTCGAGTCGCACCAGTGTCGCAGCAGCAGCAGCGGCAGCGGCAGCAGTGCTCCCAGATCACCACCACCACCACCACCACCACCGTGGCCAGAAGCAGCTGCTGAGCACTGCTGGGCCGCTTAGCACTCGATTCTGCGACAATGAATCGAGTGCTGACGGCGGTGGCGGTGGTGGTGGTGGTATATAGCGGCGATAGCCAAAGCAAACAGAGCAATGTTACCACCAAAAGGTGAAGTAAAGGCCGCAGAAGAGGAGAGAGAAAGGGAAAGAGAGAGAGAGAGAGTGTGACGGTGAAAGAGTCGCCGGGATACTTTCGAGAGAGAGGAAAACGAGTGGTGGATTCTCGCTTGCACCCTCGGTGCTGCTGCTGCTGTTGATGATGATCGGCGGCCCAACAAGCGGCCATGCAGCAGCAGGCGCCAGTCAACAAACTCTCTCGCCATCTTTTGCCTCTTCCTCTTCCTCTCCTCTCCTCTCCCTCTTTTCTCGCTGTTGCAAGCAGCCGCCGAGAGAGAGGCAGCACATTGATACCGAGAATCATAAGCAAAGGAATCAAGTGAATGAAGTGCGGGTGGTAAACAGGCACAGCCGCTGCAGTGACTTTAGGCCCGCAGGCATTGGAAAGGGCTGTAGATCATAATGATGATGATGATGATG